ACGTCTTTTGTCGAACCAACATGCTCGAAAACCCGCCGAGAATCGTACGATTGTCGGCGGGTTTCTAGCCTGCTCGTCCGATAGCTGCAGAACGGGCCGGTGTGCGCACGCGCACACTGCCCGTTCTGCATTGCGGTCATCGGAAGCCTGCCGCTCAGCGGGGCGGGCTTTCGATGATCGCAAGTACGATCTGCCCGTCCAAGGTGGGCAGATCGTACGAGCTTTCAATAAGCATACGACCATCACAAGACAAAAGTCTTGCGATGGTCGTAACGTGTATGGGCACCTTTAGGCTCTGTTCACACCTGGGACTTTTGATGCTCAAAGCTAAGCGAGACAAAACACTCGAGACAAGGAATCCCATTCTTTTCTATGGCCCCTGTTTACACCTGTGGGTTTTGTTGTGAGCGTCGCACAAAGTTTCCGATTGAAGTCTATAGGACCAAAAAGTAGCTGGTACTTTTTCCAGTGGCAGACATTTTTCTTCTGACGCCAAAACGCTCAGGTGTGAACAGGGGCCATATAAATGAATGGTATTTCTTGTCTTGAGTCTTTTGTTGCGCTTACCTTTTGGTGTTAGAATTTCGGGTCATTCTTGTGCATTCTTAGGCCTCATTCACACACGAATCGGCCGGCACGTACAGCTCCGTGCTGCGTGCGGGGCCGTACCAAGCAGCTGCCGGGAAGGACTGGTGCTGCGTGTGATTAGTACGTAGCCTCCGTCCTTCTCTAAGGGGCTACGCGGCCGTACGCCCCCCTACGCTCACCTCAATTGCAAGTGCATAGGGGTGCGGGTGATCGTATTCCTACCACCGCCGGGATGGATCCTGTATGCGTCCCGGCCAGAAAACCCGCACCCCTACGCACCTGCAATTGAGGTGAGCGTACGACCGCGTAGCCCCATAGAGAAGGATGGGGGCTGCGTACTAATCACACGCAGCACCTGTGCTTCCCGGGAGCTGCTTGGTACGGGCCTGCCGATTCGTGTGTGACAGGGGCCTTAAGCTGGCCATACACCTTACAATTTATCTGCAGATTTTCTGTGGTCAGATGGAAAAAGTGCAACAGATTGGCCCAGGTGGAGATTATTCCATCCACACAGTTAAGTGTAGATGGAGGAATCTTTTGCACTTTTTCCATCTGACCACAGAAAATCTGCAGATAAATTGTAAGGTGTGTGGGCAGCTTTACACTGCGTGGCCCTGCTGGCAGGACAACAGTCGAGTACTTGGTCGACTTTTGTCGAAGAATCCTGGCTGAAAGAACTGTTCAGGAAATCTGACAGCAGCTGTTAGAATACAATAGATGCAGTGGGAGATTACCCCATGCACACTGTTTAGTGTGGATGGAGGAATCTCGCCCGCAGGCAGTGTGGAAAAAAAAATCCTGTATGGCCAGCTTTAGAAGGGGCAGGTTTCCTTTAAATCAAAACCCTTTATTTCCATACATGCATACTCCCTTTTTTTTTTGCATGTTCCACTTTGGTTGAGACATGGGTCAATTGTGCAACCTCCAAGGCTCTTTATTGCACCACAAAAAGAGATTATACTGGCAAGCTCCAGTTCTGATAGTGAACGCTTGTTCTGAACACCTGCTCTATAGTTAGACCATTCTGAGCAACTCTTACAACATCTGAGCAACATATAGGAAAAGCAGTGAGCTTATTCTCAGAAGCCAAAGATATGGTAATGAGAGGGTTAAAAAGGACAGGCATGAGATAGCAATATAGCGTGCCAACATTTCCCAAGAGCATTTTTCTCACTGTACGGTGTACCTAGGCTAATGATGAAAGCAAGCGCAGCAACAGGGCCACAGGAAATGAGTCAAAATGAACTTCTTTTCTTTTGATAAAAAAAAGTAAATTGCATTTTTTTGTATGTACATAAGTGTGTGTGTGTATGTATATATGTGTGTGTGTGTGTGTGTGTATATATATATATATATATAATTGTTTCTTAAAAAATTGCAGTGCATAAAAATGCACTTTTGGTAAAGAGTACAGTAATCAAATGCTTTCTATTTCTTAAAAGAAAAAAGGTAATAGTAGTATTACATCAAGACCGGTATAAAATCTGCCACAGGACTGCACTGCAATAAGAATACAACTTAGGGCTGGTTCACACTACAACGCGTTGTAGTACAGTGAGGAGTACTGCATTAGTCACCCCAATCAAAATGTAATGTACCTAAATGTACAAAAAAAGGACTGCATTCAGAATTTTATTTCACAATCCTGGAATGCACATTACGTGTTGTGGTGGATTATAGCGCAAGTGCATTTTGGTGGTGCGTTGGGGTAGTATCCAAAATAATGGATCAAACACCCTGCTTTATTGCTGTGAGTTGCGGTAGCGCATGTGGTTTACTGAAACGCGCTGGTGTGAAACAGCCCCTACACATAGCACGACATAGACTAAGTATTTATAGCATAGAATGAAACGAATGTGGATGAATGCGAAAAAAACAAACCTGTAAAACTGTGGCTATTGCCGATTGAAAGTGTATTTTTGTATCATTTTAAAGGATAAAACCTCATTGCTTATTATGGCAAACCACTTTTGCTACAGTATGCGTTATGATGTTTTAAAATCTGACCCCTATGTATATACTTCAGGGGAAAAAAAGGTAACAGCAGGGCTTTTTTTTTAAAATTAACCCCTGCAGTGGGGCTACCCCGCACTGCAAGGGTTAAGTGCTCGCTTTTGCCTAGGGTCAAAAAGAAAAAAAACATATACTCACCCGAAACTCCGAGCCAGCAGCGGTCTAAGGTCCCTGAGTCATCAAGTTCTTTACACTGTGTATAGGACATGAGGATGCCGAGGGACGTTCCATTGCTGCTGGAGGAAGCGCTGCCACAGCTGGCCGGCTCTGAGGTTCAGGTGAATATAACTTTATTTTTTAACCTAGACAAAAACGAATGCTTAACCTTTGCAGTGCAAGGGTAGCCCTACTGCAGGGGTTAATAAACAAATTAACCCCGGAGTTCTGCTTTAAATAACTCCTTTTTGTTGTGCGTTTTTAGTTTTCGATAAAGTAGGGAGGGATTAGAACTTCCATCAGGTTTTTCCTGTTGTCTGTGACTGCTAGGTAGAGCCAACCTCTCTATTTGTCCTGGTGTCCAATGTCGCTGAGACACAAAGTGAGGAAAATCCCAAACTGTACAGCTGTCCCTAGGACAACAGAGTAGGGTAAGGGGCTCAAGTTGTGGGGAATTCTTGTCAAAAGCTGTGTTTGCTATTTGAACATAATGCATGCATTGGAATGCCAAACGTAGCGCTTCAACAGAAAAGACTTTGCCTGCAGTTCAAACGCACCTGAGTAGGACCTGCTGTGGCCAAAGAAGCACAAAGCAGTTCAAACGTTGCTTCTGAACTGCCATGTGCACTGCTTGGTCTGTGGCTGTCCGGCCCACAGACCTGCGCTCCATAATGGATGCACCAGCCTCTAAGGCCGGTCCATCCACTGCATGCCATATTCCAGCGTAGGTCAGCAATCAGTCTGTGTTCAAACTGCGTTTCTCTTCGGCCCTTGGTTGCTAGGACCGCTGGCGTCCTAGCAACCAATGTCAGAGGTCCCCCTCTGTCTCCTCTCCTGCAGCTCCAGCCCATGGAAACAAAAACTTAAAACGGTGGTTTGGCATTTATAGTTTCCCGCCCAGCAGTGACTAATGCATGGTACCATGCAATACAGCTATCATGCGTTACAGCGCAGCAAGTGCATTGTATGCACGGCATTACGGTACTACGTGTTGCAACACAGTCGACCGCATTGTGGCCAGGAGGTGTGTTTGGCATGCCATTCAAATGAATGCCAACACAACGCATCTGCTGCACTATAGCACACGGTGTGTTGTGTGGAACCGTGCAATAATCGGTTCGGCCTTCACAGCTGTCCCAGTTTTCTATGTGAGAAAATGAACTGCCCAACACATAGCTAGAGAGAGCAAGGGGGAGAGGCTTGTCCTATTTGTGGAGACACACATATCTTAATAGCACACACAAGGTTGGCTCCATAGGACCCTGCAAGGGAAAAGAGCCACCCTAAAACACAATATCAGGGCCAGTGCTCAGAGGATCTGCTGATTCTACAGGAAACCAAAACCTTTAAACATGAAGGAGCAGCTTCCATTTGTAAGGGCCTTGCATTTAAATAACAGAAGTAATGTTTAAAGCAGCAGTGGGCATGCTCCGGGCCTTCAGTTGTTGTGGAACTACAAGTCCCATGAGGCATTGCAAGATCTCTCCCAGAGAGAGATGCATGATGGGATTTGGATTTTTTACCACAGCCGAAAACCGGAAGTAATGCGGTCCCACAACTCGATAAGTTCGTAGTTTTGATCGATCACCGGAGAGCCAGAGTTTGCCCACCCCTGGCTTAGGGACGAAGTTAAAGACTAACCATGTTACATCCAGTTCAGGGTGCAGCATGAAACATGGTCACATTGCAACACCTGTTATCTGAATTGCAGGGTTCATCTCCCCGCGCTCCCCAACAGAGCCACATCATGCATTCTGATCCCTAATGGTTCTCAATGGAACTAAAGTAGTCTGAAATATAGTTGCCATGATGTTAACGCACTTGTAGTCCACTGACACTTCCTCCCATCCATGTTATTGAATGCCATACCTCAGTACAGACATGGAAGGGAGGAAGAGTCTGCAGCAGCCAGAGCATTGCGCCTGAGATCCACTGATGGCGGTTGCAATACTTTACTGATTCCGATGCATTAAAATAAATGCTCTTTTGTTTTTTCTTTTATAAAGTGTGCATTTACTTTTTTTTCTCAAAAGTTTGGAATTTCCGTACTAATATATCTTAACATAAAAAAAAAACCGAATGGAAAGTCTTAGTTGGTGTAGGTGGTAGAAATGTGACCTTACCAATGCACCCGCATTGAGCCGAGACTGAGGGGGAGCTGCTGGCAGTGTCACGTGACATGCAGCACACAGAAACTAGAAGCATTACAGGGAACTGGTGATGAGTGTGGTTGTTATCAGAAGCAGGGCATATGTCCGGTAGGAGATGCACAGCTATGTCGGGGGAGTGCTGACAAGGCACAGATAAGGCTGGGAGCGGCTCTGGACGGTTCACAGGTAGTGGAAGTGGAAGGAGGGGGGTGTTCTGCTCTATGCATAGGGAAAGCTCAGGATGTAGATGTGACGTCCTCGGGCTTTTACTGTCATAGAGATAACTAGGGAGGGGGAGAAACTGCCGATCAACTCCCTGTGGACTAGGACAGCACACGGCTTGTAGAAGACGGCTGATCTTCTAAGGAAGTGAGTATGCACTTTTATTATTAGTAATGACAGGGGGGGGGCTACATACATTACAATCTGCAATCTCCTTTTAGTTTACCAACAATTGTCTACTTTCATTACTTGCATGCATAGCCAAAATCTATTTTGCCACCACGTGACCTTGAATAGAGTTTTCCTATGCAAGTTCTTTTTTTGTGTATCTAAACCTCCGACTGTAATATATTGCAGCTTGCCAGCCTTTAGATCTGGTGGCTGCATTAGTTTGTCTTTTTTTTCCGCCGTTTATTTTCGCCTGGTGATCCATACACTGGTAGATTTTCATACGAATGTTCATATGAACAAACTCATCAGAACGTTCGATAACTTTACCAGAGACCTGTAGAATGTGGTTAGAAATGTCGTTTGGTTTTAACCTTTTTGATTTTGGAATGAATGGAGTTTCTCAAACGAAAACTACAATCACTGTTAGAATTTAGTTCGTTTGCAGAAAAAAATCCATCCTGCTCCTTCTTTATGTATTTTTTCTGGTCATTGGAGCGGAAAACAATTGTTTTGACCTTTTGTGAACTATTAGAAGATCAAAGAAAAAAAACCAAAACTGAATTCGATTGGTGTTTGGCCAGTCTGTTATTTTTCAACTTCCTATATCAGACCAAGCTGTCCAGTAAAACTGGCAGGTAGAAGAGATGGCATGCTGTACTTTTTTTTTTTTTCAGTGCAGCAGGATGTGGTGCCGTACAACTGTCTTGCACCCCACTGTATCAGTAGAACAGAATGAAATGTCATGGGTGTCATTGGCGCATCTGCACTGTGTCAGGCAAAGCTCACCAATTGTGTGGATATGTCACCAGCACACCAAACTCCATCTTAGGATAAGCAAATGTTCATTTATTGAAGTTCCCTGTCATAAAACACAAGCGCTTTCGGGGCCACTTCATCAGGCTTAGCATTGACAGTGTCAGGCAAAGCACACCAGCTGCAAGTAGGGGGGGGGGGGGATTTATCCAAACTGGAGCAGACAAAATCTGGAGCAGCTGTGCATGGCAACCAAACAGCTTCCCTCTTTCATTTTCAAATCTTTAATAAACTGAAGAGAGAAGCTGATTGGTTGTCATGCACATCTGCTCCACATTTTGTCTGCTCCAGTTTTGACAAATTCCCTTCAGTGTGTTTAACACAGCGGCTGGTGTGAATTGGCCCTTAAGAAGTGTTGGCTGGAGTTCTGATTTAGGCTGGGTTCACACCTTGGCGTATTGAATATGCGCATTTGTACCGTGATTCGCGGTAAAAAAAATGCGCGACAAACGCCCGTTTCCGGGTGCTACTTGGCTGTATCCCAATGGAAACGCGAGACCATAACGCCCCAAAGAAGTACATGTACTTCTTTGGGCGTAGGCCGTTTTGTATCGCGTTCGGACGGCCGGAAATACGGCAAGGTGTGAACCAGACCTATTGAATACAATGGGATTTAGATGTTTGAGCGTTTTGTAGAGCGTTTGTCGAGCGTTGAACGCGCTACAAAACGTTCAGGTGTGAACCAGGCCTTAGTTTGTTAGTCAAGTCCATCTAGATCTTCTAGTCCAGGGGTGCCCATTAGGTCGATCGTTGATCTACCAGTCGATCACGTAGAGAACACCGCCCCGCCGTGGGGGTTCTCCTCTCCCCCATCTGTATGCAACGTGGATCCGAGAAGAAGAGAATGAAGTGCTG